TATATATAGTCATTCACAGACTGTTTCGCTGTATCACAGCTCATGAGTGTGGCTAGACGTCCGGTTGCCGCTAGCTAGGATCGAAACCCGGCTGAATTGGCATTAGTCGGAGATTTTACCACGAAGCCGTTGAAGCGCGTCAGAGAAGAATGTGAATTTTAGCTTATTTATTTTTAGATAAACACACAGTGACTGAGAGAACCCGATTTGATTTTCTTCCTTGTCTAGTATTTTTACTTCATTCCACATGGTTGGGGGCTTCAAAAATTTAAGGACACATCTTCAGTTTAAAGCAAGACGTCCTAACATAACGGAATGTACATAAACTTTTAAGCATTTGTTTAAGACATATATAGGTCATTACCATAGCACTTTCCAATCTGACACGGGAAACGATGAGAAATGTTAGAATCACTATATTAAGCGCCAGCCACTGCAAATCGGGAATAATGGATGAACAACAGGCGCGACATGTTTCACTGTGCGGATATGTATAGTAAGTTTATAGAATAGTAAGAACTGATTGAGCCTCACTGTGGGAGAACTGACGGTCAGCATAAATGAAAACTATCTGACGTAGACGCTTCTGATGGTGTCTTTTGAGTGCAGCATTATTGAAGAAACCGTTTCTAACTTTTCTGGCGGTGGGGGACGTGTGTTACTGCGACATGAGATTCGCTGGAGGCTAAAAGGTCCGTCTGAAAAGAAGCAGAACACGTCCGAAAGGCATCTTGTGTTTAAAAGTCAAAAAGAAAAAAATTGCGCACTTTTCTTATGAATATGAGAACAAAAACATCACTATTAAGGAGTGAGAAGAATAAAAGAATGAGAATTAAGAAGACATGATAATATTCTCTAATAAAACAATTTTTAATAATAATTCGTTCGTAATTACTTGGTGAACCGTTTATATGCAAGAGGTTGCTGAATAGTCCTGACCGAAACGTTTTTTTTTGTTTTTTTTTGTTTTTTAATTTGCTTTTTCATTTGACACGATTATGAGAAGTGGCGAGAGTTGAAAAATCTTCAAAACTATCTTGTATATACAGATCTGCTATGTGTACATATAGAGTAACAACAAATGCAAGTGACAAAGTTTCCAGTAAACAATAACCAAAGACAGATAAGGAACAGGGCAAAAATAATATTAAGCATATGTAAGGCAAAACTAGGCAAAACATTTATAATAAGGCCAAAATTTCACAAAGTAAAAATAGTGTTAACACAGAAAATGAATACAAGAAATAATACTAATATGGTGGATGAGACCGTAAAATAGACGGAAGAATTTCCAGCATCCATCTGCACGATTTGTCTATCAATTTTGAAAGGGGAAGATTTTTGCTGTCATTCTAATCTCTGTTGGAACCAATATTTCACATACATGAATCTTTTTAACAAATCTTATCTACAAATATATATTAATTCAGATCAATGGTGTGTGAATATATAGATAATAATTTAATATATACATTTTTCCTCTACATGTGTATACCTATACACAGTGGGCACTAAACATTCTTTTATGAAAGATAAACCTTTCCCTCAATAGCATTCTTCATACGAAATGTATTAAGGTCAAAATATACCAAAATCCAGACACAACTATTTCAATATTACATGCAAAATATGAAGTAAAGACATTTTTTTTCATTCAATATGTGACAATAATACACTTAAAAATTACGAAGTTAACTTTGCCTTCCCACCAGGTAGGGGTTAAATAGCTGGGTAATTCTCTCAGATTGGTTGGCAAACAGGCTAAAAGAAGGATGATTCTGAATCCCAGTACGGTTTCGAGTGGGGCTAACAAATCAAGCTTCTAAAATCTTATTCGCTATAAAAACAGATTAGTGATGCTTTGTCCATATAGAGCAGTCTAATTACAGCATATTGTCCCATATTGCGCTAGAAAGCGTCGTTAGATTCGACGAGTTTTAGGTCGACTCGTCTACGAAGATTTCTTATCTGCTCAACTTCGGTTTCAGTTTATTTTCGTCCACTGGCTTGAATATTTGACTTTGCTTCATCAGCAAGGCCCTTCATGGCCGACTCAATCCAAAGGACACACAGCATATATATATATATATATATATATATATATATATATATATATATATATATATAAAATATTTTTAAAATACAAGAATAGAAAATATTAGTGCCCTTAATATAAAGTCATTACAATTTGTATGATTATTCAAATTTAATCTATTTTCCATCTTCATACAACCTGTTGATGCAATCATATTACTAGCTTGATCGGGATTTTTAGAAATATACAGTACTCTGTCGTCGAAATATATTATTCTATAAAGAACTGTCTTGAAATTGTTCCACGATAGCCAAGACAGAATATCAGTATCGATTTGAAGAAATGAATTTTTAAGAAGCACAAGATATGAAATGAGTATAATGGCTTTTCAAAGAAAATGTCTGTCGCTATATCGACGGTCATTCAGTTAACTCCCATACGTGATACACGCTTGGAATGATCATTTCAGTTTGAATTTATGTCTGATGAAGCAGTCTGTTTTCCTGCAATAGGTTGATGTTTATTTCATGCAATAGACTGATTACCAACCAAGGCTATAGGGCCCAGTCTTTCCTGCTAGAGATGGATACATACCTTTGCCAAAGGTATTGGCGCCTATGTGAATACAACGAATCCGACTGGAATTGGACGGTACCATCTGTAATGAAGAAATATAAGATAGCCAGGTATAGGAAGAAACCTTCTCGAAGTTAGTTGCCTTTGTAAAGTGCCACCAATATTCACGCAAAAGATAGATTTTGATGTCAATTAAGATACACATTAATCTGAAAAGCTATGATCGAAATTTCAGCTGAATCCGATCCCAGAATTCCAAAAAGACTCTCGATCTATGGCGCCGTGAAAATAGAACGCGGACCTGGGTACTCCAATAACCCTAAGATTCCAAACTTAAATTAAAACTGTTTACTAAATGAAGGAGAAAAGAAAATGTCTGTCATACCAATCGCAATCACCTGAATTATGTTCTATTTAAAAGTTGTGAACTGAATTAAAAATGATTCTGACAAAATGGATTCCCCGAAAAATATAAAAATTATAGAAAATTACAGAAGAATATAGTAACAGTATAGCTTTCCCTGGAAATTTTCAAAAGGTTATGGTTAACTACCGGTAAAAAAAAAACAACAACAAAAACTCTCCGAATCGATTACTTATGTTCAGTTTTTTTAGGTATGTTTATAGCGAACGAAGAGATTTTGTTCGTGTGTGCTTTTAAATATTATTAAGACAGCGCTCCTATTTTGAATGTATAATACGCATTTATCGTTTCGCATATTGTATTTTATTTGCAGATTAATGTGAATTTAGGAGAGTTCTCAGGAAAACATTTGTTGGGAGGAAAAGGTTTATATAATACGAATACTTATTGACCCCATTTTAGTTACGATTTTGTCAGTACTTACGCATTCATAACAATGCATTTATATATATATATATATATATATATATATAATAAAGAAAGAAAGAAAGAACAGTAAGATATATAATCCGGTGTTCTTATAGATATTTTTATTTTTACAAAATAGTGCTCAATGTAAATTTACAGAGCATTAAATCCATTTATATATATATATATATATATATATATATATATATATAATATTCGCCATATCGATCTCTACGGGTTATTTAATGCCGAAACTTAAATTATTTGAATATTATTATAATTCTTCAGCTTCAGATAAAATATATTGATTGTAACTTTACTATAAATAGGTACGGTTGGTAATTTCACTCCATATATGTACTGTATAAATATATGTAATTTCGCAACAAATACAGGGTGCGATTAGTAAATTGTCGACATTTTATATATTTTTTTTAATTTGGCGCATGCGTGTTGTTTGTTTTTGATTTTGCCGACTGCACAATATAGTTGGGTCAGTTGGACACTATCTGTTAGAAAAAGAGTACAATGCCAAAATTCACTCTGCCAGAAATTTGGAAACGACATGCTGTACTGCTTGGCATTCACGCCAAGAGAAACAATATGAACATTTCAGAGTGTTTGGGCGTCAATCTGAGGATAGTACAGAGGATTCAGAAAGAGATTGATGAGTCTAATGCTGATTGCGAAGGTACGATACCTCGGAAAACTATCTCTGATCGTTCTGTTAAGAAAAGAGCACCCGAATTTGTTGGTGGGGACCTCACACTCAACACAAAGGCCTACATCAGGTGCCGTGAGGAGGTAGTGCCCTGAGTCAAGAGGTTGGCTGCTGAAAGACGCTATGTCTGACAACAGGACTCTGCAACATGCCCCACAAGCAGGAGCACCCAGTTATAGCTGTCAGGTAATTTTTGCGACCACATCAACCCGTATATTTGGCCACAGAATGCAGCTCCCTTGATTAATATGTATGGGGGGGGGCAGTTGTGCGAGAACCCCCCCCCAAAAAAAAAACTCCTTGTAACACTAAAAATGAACTGAAGGCAAGGATTATGGCAGCAATCACCAACTTAAACAAAGACCGTCCAGAAGAGTTGCAGGAGTTTCCAAAGTCACCCTTTCAGTAGATTGACTTTTTTATACTAGTGTTGGTTGGTACATGATAAAACAAACCGTTTGATCGTATACTACTTAATTCATGGGGGGATGACACGGAATGTTTCGTGCATTATTGATTTGTACTTTACCAGGTGGAAGGACACATTGGTTGTAGGATGTTCCCAGTAGAAAAAATAATGTTTAGATAATTTTATTCATAGTAGCCGCGTCGTTGTAAAACAATTGTTGTATCATATGTAATTTTTCTTCCCTTTATTCGCTTTTTTCTTTTTTCTTTCTCTGTTTTTTTTTCTCTTTATTCTTTCCCTTTTATTTACTTCTGCATCTCTCTCTCTCTCTCTGTCTTTCATTCTTTCCTTCTTTTTTTTTACTATCTTTCTTGAATTCTTTCTCTTGTCAGCCATTTTTTTCTTTTTTCTTTCATTTATTTGAATTATGTCGTTTTTACATTTTTCTATTCTACTCCTTTTCTATTTTACTCTTTCTTTCTCTTTCTCACCCAATATTTCTGCCTCCCCTTTTCTTTTTCACTTTATATCTTCTTTCTGTCTTTCTCTTTCTCTCATATTTTTTTTATTTCTCGCCCAATCTCTTTCTCCTTTTCCTTTCGTTCATTCAGTTACTTTAGTTTTCCCTTATAGTTTTCTCTCTCTTCCTCCCTCCCTCTTTCTCATGTAATCACGCTTTCTATCTTCTTCTTGTTAACTCTCTATTTCTTTGTCTTTACCGCTGCCTTAAGATCTTTCTCTCTCTCTCTCTTCTTTGTGTATATAGGCAGCCAATATTCTGTCTTCTTGTCCATACATTACGAAAGAGCCAGGTTTGAGTAAACTACTCATAAATATCTGAGAAAGTGGAATGTAAATGAATTCGGAAGAGATGACAAATGGAAAGTCTTCTTCATAGTCATAATTTATATATTCACAAAACTGAGCGAAGTCTTAAGATAAACAGAAATTACATTAGAAACAAAAAAAAAAGTATCTCTATTTCTGAGATGAGGTATTATGTACACTATTTACATTATTCGACTATTGTCCTCATTTGTCGCCATTTTTATTATAACGTTTCGGCTGTTTTGTACGCTTTCCTTTCTTCAGGTGGTTGGAAAACTGAACTCTTTATTTCGCTCACTGGGGTAGACTGTTGTAACTGATAACTGACATCCATTAGACATGGCACGTGGAACTAGAACAGTCTACCCCAGTTCCACGTGCCATGTCTAATGAATGTCAGTTATCAATTAGAAAAGTCAACCCCAGTGGGCGAAATAAAGGATACAGTTCGACATTCTAACCAACTGAAGAAGGCCGGAGCGTTTACAACGGCCGAAACGTTGTAATAAATATGGTAACAAAGATGAAGAATATAATCCGAATTATGGAAAAAAAAATGTGTTGAACTGCGATATAATATCATTTCTTCTATATGGCACCGAATGCTGGACAGTTTCGTCATAGACGAAGAGGAGAACTGAGGTATTAGTAATCTGGTTCTGTAGAAGGATGCTAAGAATACCATATATGCATTGAAGAAATTTTAATAAAAATAGGAACAAAAAGGACACTTAGAATCTGAAAGAGTTGAATTTTTTTTTTAAATTGAAATTTTTAAAAAAAAGCATAATGCGGATTTGACACTTACAGACAAGAGGGGCAGGGTGAAACAGCGAATAACATGCCAAACATGTATAAATAAACGGCAGATCAAACACCGTAAGAAATATTAAGGGATAAATAATGCTTAGACGTACAAAGGATAGAAAGTTGTGGAGTACTGTTATTACCCACATTCATTTGTACATCTCCTTGATTGGTTCATTCTTTTCAATCCTACTTCCATTTACTAACAGAATTACTATGAAGTTATCTCCCCTTATTATTCACTCTAGATGCTTCCTTTCTCATCGAAAATACATGATCCTTTTAATTAGATACTCGGGATTTAGATTGACACATGGCATCCAATAACTTTGAGCAAGTGGATATGAATTACATATGAACCCATTGTTTTCAAAGTACGACTATTTTAAATAACAATATACATACAGAAGGATATAGAACTCTGCTTTATATATCATACAAAAGTGTTTGATAAAGTACAGCAAAAAGAACTGTTTAAAGTGCTAAGCAAGGTTGATTAATTCGGGAAAAATATCAAGTAACCAAGAATGTGTACTGGGAGCAAACGAATAGAAAATGAATTCTTAAAATGCACATAAGGTAGTAAAGGAGAGCGAGAAGAAAAGGTCAACATCAATTGTAAGAAAAAAGGATTTGGTTGGTTTTACGGCATATCAACCTCAATGGGTTATTTAATGCCGACAACATTTTTAGGATAGATTCCTATGAATAGAATATGCATTCTTTGGTTTGATTTATTTTGTTTTACGGCATATCAACCTCAATGGGTTATTTAATTCTAGCAACATTTATAGGATAGATTCGTATGAATAGAATATGTATTCTTTGGTTTAGATTGGTTTGGTTTATTTTGATTTACGGCATATCAACCTCAATGGGTTATTTAATACCGACAACATTTATAGGATAGATTCGTATGAATAGAATATGTATTCTTTGGTTTAGATTGGTTTGGTTTATTTTGTTTTACAGCATATCAACCTCAATGGGTTATTTAATACCGACAACATTTTTAGGATAGATTCGTATGAATAAATATGTATTCTTTGGTTTAGATTGGTTTGGTTTATTTTTTTTTTATCAACCTCAGTGTGTTGTTTAATGCCAACGAAATATTTTTTGCTGGTAATATTTTTTTTTTTTGTCATTTATCTATTTCTGGTAATATTTTTTCTTCAAAAACTTATTTCTGGTAATAGTTTTTTTCTACAAAAATGTATTCCTGGTAACAATTTTTTACAAAGTATTTATGGTATTAAAATCTATTTTTACACTTTCATAGTCTTTTTACCACAGTTTCGGGGTTAACAATTGCCTATAGCTAGGACCCTAACAGGTGCTACCACACCGGGTCAGGGTGGACCTGGGAACACCAGCAATTTAAAGGTGGTTCCACGCTTCTCAAAACCGCCTTGCTGTTGGACGTAGTTTATCGTCTTACCCAGGACGCGGATGTCGTTTATCGTCATACCCAGGACGCGTAAGAAGAAAGGGTGTATTTTTATCAGCAAACGGAACAGCCCATGATGCGTAAGACGAACTGGAGACACAAAAGTCAAAAAGTACTATCTAGGAAGTTTTTTTTGTTTTTTTGTTTTTTTTTTAAACAGATGACAGAAAATCAGACACCGAAATACAAAGGCGGCTGGGAATAATGAAAGCTTATCTCCTAAAAGATAAGTAAAGTAGAAAGAAACAATATATGGTTAGAAACAAAGGTAAGCGTACTGAACTATTATGTAATATCGGTCCTCCAAAATGGCAGTGAATGCTGCACAATCTCCTTACAGATGAAGAAGAGACATGAAGCAACAGTAATTTGTTTCTGGAAAAGAACTGCAAACAAAACTATTTCGTCCCTGAATTTCAGGCATGAGGTGTTATTACCTACATTATTTTGACTATTGTCCTCATCTTTTTTGTTATTTTGACATCATTTCAGCTTCCTAAGTTACTTGTCGATGCCCGTTTTCAAATGACCAAAAATATAACTCTTGGAAAAATGTCTGTTTAGTTTTATTCTGATTCAGACATTTTACGATAGATACGATTAAACAAGCTGCTTTATATAGTAAAAATCCTAAATTGACAGACAGGATATAAATTTCTGGATTAGACTTAGGCAGTTAAATCGAATAATAGACCTAAATTGTACATTGTTCGAAATGTGCTAAGAACAAATTTTGCATTCCGTTTAACGCGTGAATTCAAGACATTTGATGATCATGGTACTCGATGTTAATGAATTACTCGACGAATTATAGCTAAATTTTCAGAGTTTCTGTTCATGATTTTGTCTTTGACTCCCATTTAATTTCTTTTGTTAACACTTGAATTTTCTTTTATCTGTGGTAGGGGTCTGCTTCTCTGGATAGATATTCGCTATAATTTATTCCTTGTCTTTCAAATTATCATAAATGAGATTCTCCTGAGTACTCTGTCTGCTATAGTGTAAGTTCTAATAATAATTGTCAATTAGAAATGTTTCTGTGCGTGTATGACATCTGCCGAGTAAATATATCAAAGTACTGTATTTGTTCAATAAATTAAGCAACAAGATTAGAATTCTCGCCTTGAGCAGTTTGACTTTGCGCAACCTTCTAGCGTCTGCTTCCGTAAAGAAGAGTCGACCTGCAGCGTGTGCATTTTCATAGTTTCGATGCTAATTGAATATCTTTATTAGATTCTAGTCGCACAATAAAGTTCAGGCAAGTGTTCCATAATAACTCGTATTTTTCCTTTCGCAGTTATTGAAACCGAAGTAAATACGCGGAGTATTCAAAATGTTCGTGGAAAAATAGAAATAAAAGCAGACATTTTAAAGCATAAGTTTTATTTCGCCACATGATCTCCAGCTATAAGCAACACATTTGATTGTGTTTTTATTCTGAAAAGTGAATCCCTTGTTACGTTCATTGGCACTGCATAGTTTTACTTGCATTTCATGATGAGGCACGGTGGAGTAATGAATAGCGGCTTGGATTGAGGAATCGGAGAGCTGAGTTCTAATTCCAGTCGAATCCATTACATTCACTTACGTGCTAATAATAATGTGAATCCTCTTTCTTCTCCCTCCAGCTACGGGTAAATAGCAGGACAGACTCGGTTCTATAGCCTTGGATGGCAACTGGTCTAGGAGAAGGAAAACTCTGAATTCAAACCTGCTCTTAGAGGAGGGTGAACGGAGTGTCTCTGAGCCTTGGTTGGCAATCCATTTAGTGTTGGTGTCACGATAAAAACACCCTTGATAGCCCTAGTGAAGCATCAAGAATTCAGCTATTTGACAAGATTATGAACTACACAAATCAAAGTATTGGTGAGTTCAATCTCGGCTGAGATGTGTGAATGGTCCGACCTTTGAAAAAAAAAATTTTGCATTCCAAGTTAATTCTGGAAAGATGAATTCCCTCATAGATGAAGAAAAGACTTGAAGCAACAGAAATGTGGTTCTACATAAGAATACTATGGACTCAATATGTGAGCAACTACGAAATCTTTAGAGAAAATGAAAACAAAAAGACACTTATAATTAACATCAGAATTAAAGTAGAAATTCCTAGGGTACATAATGAGGAAAGGGTGCTTAGAAAAATTGATATGCACGGGTCATATTGAAAGCAAGAAGAACAGAAAAATAACACATAGCTTACCTAATGTGTGTGAATGGTTGACAGAAAAGGGTTTAGGAGAGATAGCAAAAAGACAAAATTTACTAAGAGCGACAAAGCACGGGAAATTTTGAAAAGCAATGATCAACAACGACTTGAACGGACACGGTATATAGAAGAAAAGAATTTACTTATTAAATATATTGATATAATCATACAATACAGAACCAGAAATAATGAGTGCCAGAGAAAAGCGATAACAACAACAAAAATTGCAATGTGAGGTCTGGTAAAAAACATGCAATGATAACAGCAAAAATTGCAATATGAGCACAAGTAAAAATAGTTACTGAAGACATTAGGTTTATAATACCCAGAAATTCATACAAAGATGTCCTTTTTATTTTTTTTAGTATTTTATTTTTGTCATAAATTTTATTTTATATATAAAAATTAGAGCCTAAAGACCATAAAAATACTAAAAAAATAAAAAGGTGGGAGATCATAATTTACATTAAAAAATAATCTGGATCAACGTATTTCAACAGATATTTACTTTTTATGCTTACATATAACCACCAATTTATTTCTTTTGTTGAATAGGTCAGAGTTATTTAATAAGTGTTTTAAGACAACTAATTTTTCTACACGAGAAAAATTACATCTATCGTCATCTATGTTTGTGTGCGTGTGTTCCTCTGTATTTGTGTGATGACATTTTTGGTCATAGAAATTCAAATGGCTCATTTTACAATTTCTTGCCGATAGTCGAAGCTATTGCGGCAGAAACAAATGCTGAATACGAAAAATGTTTTGATTTTTTTTGTTTTGCTTTTGTTTTTTTGCTTTTTGCTTTAGACACACTTCCGCTAACAGATTATAGTTTCTGTGGTAACGTTCCTTTGGGCATTTCTTTTAAGAAAGGCTTTCGTTTGATTGAAATCTCTTTGAAAAGTTGGGTTTTTTTTTGTTTTTTTTTTTTTGTCAACAATTAAATGACTTCACGTTCTTGTTCTTTGCATTTTACATGTTCTTGGGGTAACTCTTTCACTTCAGATAGCAACCAAACTTCTTGCAAATTTCTTTCTCACCTTTGGCCACTTAGGTTGTTAAATCTATTATTTGTTATTGTTCTACTACTAACTTTAATACTATTTCTATTTTATTTTTGGTCTCTTTTGGTTCTGTTATCTTTTGCATTGTTTTTCACGTTCTGCTTTGACGTTATCATCTTTGGATTCTTCGAAATTGTTCTTATTTTCTTGTCGCTGTTTTCTTCGTTCCCCCCTTATAGTCAAAACCTTATCGTTGCTTTATTTTCAAACTCCCACTTTTCTTATATTTCACTTATTTTTTTATGTTTCCGCTTTAATCTTCATCGGTTTCTTCTCGTGGTTCTATTTTTTTCCGTATCAAAAACCAAAAGATGCAGATGTAGGTCCCTATATCTGATCATAAAATCACTTTTATACAATACGATTTATTTTTTTGAATTTCTGAGCCAACTTGATACATTGTGTGAAGTAAAAACATGAAGCAAAATAAGTAAATAAAACCAAGAATTTGATTTTACTCTGCTGTTTATACATTCGTTTATTTTACTATCTTGGCTGAGGTAGTCATTTTTTCTGCATTGGGAAAGGTGTTTCGAACACAGGTAAATCCAGGATATTGAAAGCTAATGTTCAGGTAGATTTTCTTTCAATTTAAAGGTGAAAATAACACAAACTTTCTATGTTTATTTAACCTTGTGCCAGACTAGCCAAAATTTTGTTAATATAATAACATATCACTGATAGTATTTATCAAGCGTTTATAACGATTTCAATAGAATGATAGTTTATTTATTAATACGTGTCACAAGCTGAAATATTTGGCCCTCTTTATTAAAATATTAAGTTAATGATTTATTGTGAAATACATAAAATGCTAAATATTCCATATTTGTAAATGTCGCATCTGTTCAGGCCGTAGAACGCAACGCGAATTACTGCAATATATTTCCAAAAAATAGTCATAGCAATTCACAAGAAAAGGAAATTGTAGATATCCATGATAATCAACGCCCTGAGCAGACATTGTATATGGAAAACAACGAAAGACAAAAAGAATGACGCAAGTCAAACAAAATCGTAATGTTGAAAATATTTAAAAACGTAAAAATCTGTGGTAGAAATAAACATGATTTGAACATGTTTTACAACGGACCTTTATCCTGCATATTCCATAGGATCGTCGAGCTTGTGTTCAAATTCCGAAACATTTACATTAGCACTAATTGTCTTCGGAAGTACATCGATCCAGTTCTTCTTGCTCTTGCAGTTATTAGTTAAATAGCAGGGTAGACTCGAATCCATAGCCTTGAGTAGCAACCGGTCTAAGTGAAGCGAAACTTAAAACTAACTCATTTAGAAGGCAATAGGAAACGACTTCACTGTATTTCCAAAGAGATCACGCTAATTCCGGGAAAATAAAAAAAAAGAACCACTTACAAACTTATAGGCATATTACATTAAAAAAAAAATTACTTGAATATATATGGCTTAGATATATTTGTGCAACATCAATTAATATCTATCTATCTATCTATCTATCTATCTATCTATCTATCTATCTATCTATCTATAATTTGAGAACTGTTATTAAATCTCAAGCACAGATATATGACAAATCAACAACTTCCTGATTCAACAACTTTTCCTCATTCTGATTAAGCATTTTCAAGGTCTAAGTGGAACTTTTAGACATTATTAAAAAAAACGACTTACTACTTAAAACATACAAGTGTGGATTATTGACATTCAGCTTTATTAAATTAATCCTGTTTTGACGAAGGAAATGTTTTTGTTCAAAGATTTTTGTAAAAAGCCTGGATATATAAAAAAAAATGTAGAAGTTGTGTATTATGGATGTTGAGAAGCCAAAACATCGACTGAAAAAATGCCTGGGACTTCTGGTAAGCATTGACAGAAAAAAATTATATGTCACAGATTGCTTTAACGTGAATGATGAAATAATCTAATTGAAATGTGACACTCAAAAGCAAAACATTACTTTAGAATAAAATCCAGTTTTATTATAGAAAAAATGATATTTCTAAATTTTACTCAGTTGCCTATTGAATTTACTTCTCGCTTATAGAATTTATTTCCTAAAGCAACTAGACCATTATTTTACAGAAAAGATGTTTAATCAAACTGAGGATGACTTCTTTTAATCGTTAATTTGTCGTTTCTTTAAAGATTGAATTTAACTACTGAATAAGCAACCTGCTGTCGACGTGGAATAAATGTACAGCTACCAAAGGTAGATTTTAAATGATTTCTTTTTGTATGCTTTTTAAATAAATCTTTAAGTTCATATTAAATAATGTAATCTAAGTTATATCCGGAAATGCTAAACATTTAATATGACCGAAAAAGCAGTTCAGTAATTAAACTAAAATCAATGATTATTCCTTCTAATTAAAAATAGCACTAAACTAAATCCATTTACATTATTCGGAATGTTGTCGCCATCTTTAATGTAATAGTATTTGCATTGGTCGGACTGTTGTCCTCAGCTTTGGTGCCATATTCACGACCGTTGTTTGCTCCGGCCTTCTTTAGGTGATATTTGCTGGAATTTCAATTCGAACCCTTTATTTAGTACGGAGTTAGATTGTTCTAATTCGACATGGCATACATTTGGATATCTCTGTTTTAGTTAATTCTCCTTGATTCTCCAAGATTTTGTTCTCTCTGCTGTGGCCAAGGAGTTGAGCTCAAAACTCCTTCGGTCAATTCATTTTTGGATCAATCAACCAACGCTTTTATGCACTGGGCCATGTGTCCTTGGGGACACGTGGATTAAATAAAAGGGTTCCAACTAAATATTAAAATTGTTCATTGAACTAAATAAAAGGTTCGATTCCAAATTTCAACAAATATCACCTGACGAAGGCCGGAACGTACAACAGCCGAAACGTTGTGAATATGGCACTAAAGCTGATCACAACACTCCGACCAATGAAAATATTATAAACATTTACAATAATTCATTTAAAAAATATCAACAGATGTTAAACAAATTCCGTATCATATTTAGTATTAAAAATATCTTAAGACATTTATTTCATTTTTATTAAAAAATTAATGACAATTTGAATTGCATCAGATCTAATATCCTATGATTAAATAATTTAATTATGTGCAGTCACTTAACTACATGTGGTAAAAAAAAAACAAAAAAAAACGACGCAGATAATGAATGTAAATCAAGATTTGTTTTTAGTTTTAGTTTCTTTAACAATGACATCTTAATTGTTTTCATTCTTATTCTGAACCATTTACCGGCACATAGAATTATTTTTTAGTTTCCAACCATTAGGATTTTGAAATGGATCTATTTTATATTAGCGCATAGCGAACTTGTTTATGCCTATAATTACAATAAACAAAGCTGTTGTGTATTGAATTAGCATTGCATTTATCATTAACTTTCGGTTGAATTTTGTCTTCTAATTGATTCCACAACAGAAATGATATAAGAAAATAACAATTCATCAAATTTTTATGCGTCTGAAAATTAGCATAATGTAAATTCATTTAAATTTTATCTATACACTAAAAGCCACAGACTAAAAGTATACATCAGAAACTGCCAGAAGGATATAGACTCATCAGTCAGTCGGTAATGCCCAACCCAAGATTTACTTTCAATTTTTGCTGCCGTAAAAATTAAACTGGAAATATTACAAATATATTTATTTTTCAGATTTATTCAAATAAACATACGCACTATTTCTTTGCCTAATTAACGAGAAATATATATATATATATATATATACACTACTCTTCAACGTTTGGGACATCTCTGATAATTTTTTAAATTGGCCCAAAATGTAGTTGTTTCTTACTTCAAATAAGAGAAAATTATTATACATGGTTAACATAAATGAGACATGATTTTTTTTAATTAGAAATATTATTATGCTAATAGGAAAAGAAGAATTTTGTGTTAACATTTTGCTCTCGTCAGAATATCTTCCTTTAGCCTTAATTACTGCAGTACAAATTTTTGGCTTTCATTGCAAAATTTTCTCAAAGTATAGTTTTGAAAATTGATTGCATTATTTTTCAAATGACTCTAAGAGGTTTTTTTCTATTTTTACCAATCTTTCGTCAAGTCGCTATGCTAATTCTTGGAGTGGCTTTAAATGTTTGAAAAATAGTGTGTGCGTGAATAGATACATATATAGATATGCATACTTATCGGTTAAAGTGCTCAATATCGGTGATAGAGCGTATGTAAATATAAAAGTGAATGTAAAACTTGCGGCGGCAGTCAGTTTCATACTGAAACGCAATTGTCAGGCCTGGGTGCTGATTTCAATATCCACTTTTATATTAACATACGCTCTAGAAAAATAAAGTAAGTTAAAACAACATTGAAACAGTGCAGCATCTCTATGAGAGCCTCAATCTGGCGAAGAAGAATCAGAAGTGAAAACAACACTGAAACAATGCAGCATCCCATATGAAAGCCTCAATCTGACGAAGAAGAATTTGAAGGGAAAACAACATTGAAACAATGCAGCATCTTTTGAAAAACCTCAATCTGACGAAGAAGAATCAGAAGTGAAAACCACATTGAAACAATGCAGCATCCCTATGAAATACTCAATCTGGCGAAGAAGAATCAGACCCGGGTTCAAATCATTGTCGGTTCGATGCTATCGGTCTGGATCTAATTCGACTTCAGCGTGCCAAAAATGCCTGCAAATCAATACTTGTTAGTGCAACTAGGTAGACTAAACTCTTGTCATCGTGTCTGGAGGGAACAAAGCATGCTGGCCTTGTTCAAATTGATGATCACACAATGCTAGATAAAACGCTCTCTCCCAGAAATTGTAACTAAGCTCTGATTATAGCATAGTTGCAGCATAAAACAGAGGTGGGTGTCTGCAATAGGGATTGTCTCGAATACGAGTGACCATCAATTATATATATATATATATATATATATATATATATATATATATATATATATATATATATAAAAAGAGAGATAATAAAGGAGAGGGTAAGAAAGAAAATAAGAGATAAAATTGGATGTTCATTTATCTCTCCTACGCTTCAATTATTCAGGAATTTAGTAAAATCATTTTTTCTTATTTTTGTCAAGACGAACGGAGGCACACTAATAGTAGGTCCACATAAGTGTACAGTTAATTTAATTTCATTATATTAATACTCTCTCTATCTCTCTTTCTCTCGATATTGGGCACTTACAATGATTGCTTGCCGTACAAGCGTTATCTTACCAAAAGACTCTGATCGACGTTTTTGCTGTTTTTTTTTGTTTTTTTTTGGTTTTAGCAAGACCCAGTTTGTTATATATATATATATATATATATATATATATGCATGTATCATATGTATGTTCTTACTTTTGTGTGTGTGTGATTTTATTAATTTACTGCATGAGAGAATCTGTTCATGAAAATGCAAGCGTATTTAATCAGTGTAAGAAAATATTCTTAAATTGTTTATCATTAAATAAACATTTTACGTTTAGCAATGAGGTATTTATATACTTTTAATTTTTATATATGTATATAAACATACTTTTCCTTATAAAAATATTATATATATATATATATATATATATATATATATATATATATATACTAACACAAAAAAGCATGCATATTTACACGCTTAACACAAAGAATATTATATATATATATATATACACACACGCTTCAAACACAAAGAAGACATATATTTATATATACACACTTTAACACAAAAGAAACATATATATATATATATATACATTTTATCTTACTAAAGAAGCATATATATATATATATATATATACACACACTAATGAAAAGAATATATTATATATATATATATATATACACACACTAACAAAAAGAATATATATATATATATATATATATATACATACACACACTAACATAAAAAGATATATATATATATATATATATATATATATATATATATATACACACACTAACACAAAGAAGCATATATATATATATACACACACACTAACACAAAGAAGCATATATATATATATATATACACACACTAACACAAAGAAGCATATATATATACACACACGCTAACAAAGAGAATATATATATATATATATATATATATATACACAGCTAACACAAAGAAGCATATATAAAAACACACGCTAAAACAAAGAAGCATATATATATATATATACACACATTTAAAACAAAGAAAATATATATATATATATATATATATATTAATACAAAGATATATATATACACACACAAAAAAACAAAAATTCATATATATATATATATATATATATATATATGGTTTCTCTCTCTAATGTAATTTTTCATTTTTTTAAATATGCTTTTGATAAACTATTTTCCATTCATTAACTATCATATTGTTTTATACAAAACATCACCTAATACAACAGGATTTATCTCAGTTATGCATCATTGTAACTTGCAACAGATTCGCTAATAAAAATAAAAGATATGAATAAATATGACATCACTTTCCTTTTCTTGTCACTTTCATCATATTCCCGTACATTCGGTTTTAAATACATCTGCAACGCTGTCGAAAATTACGTCTAAAATACATCAGAAATATTTTCAGCTTCACGAATGTTCTGTCTGAAATA